AATTCTTTAATTGCCGAAAAGAAAAAGGGAGGCTCGGGTTTTACCAGTAGCTATACGGATTCGGTTAAAGAAAACAAATTAGTGAAAAATAATTCATTTATTAGCAGATGATACCTTGAAAGCCATTAGACTCAACATATAGAATATACAGAAGTAACTTTAAGGTGTCAGCTAGCTTTTACTCTTGACGTCAAGATAATCAAGCGGAGACCATACAGTTTTATTTAGAAATGCCCCCGTCAGCTTGCTGGGTAGGCAGGCCCGTCAACCTTCCAGGTCATGCAGGAGTGTCTGCCTACTCGGGGCCCATCAGCCTGTTGGGTAGGCAGAGGCAGGTCCGTTACACTGCCAGGTCATGCGGGCTGTCTGCCTACTAGGCACCCGTCAGCCTGCAGGGCAGGCAGACTAGTTCCCGTTACTCCTCATACGTGCATACCCGTCATACTCGCATGCACTACATTTCTAACAATGGAGGTCTTTATTTCGTTTCCTCCTATAAATCTCTTAAACTGCCCGCTACTCCCCAATTTCTTGGTGTTTTAGATCTCTCAAAGGCGAGGAGGAAGGGAGGCATCCTAGTCAGTGGTCGCTACTCCCGGTGAGACCGTGGGGTATCGCTTACGGTACCCAGCAGGACCCTCTGCTTCTGCCCAACAGAGTGCAGCATAGGCGTTGCGAGACCTCAGCGCAGGCGGGCTACTCAGGTGCCGCCGTGGAAGAAGGCAACCATTCTCACACTTTTGTTGAAAATGTTGCCTAGACTCTGGGCTGACAGGGTGCGTCTGCTGTCTGAAAGGCTGCGGTATGCGTTCGTCTGCTTGCAGATTTGTCCACCAGGTAAATGCATCTCGGACCCCGAGCCTGTGACAAATACCAGATCACTGCTGGGAAATGTGCACACCCCCAGAAAAACATTGTTGGTCACAGTAATGCTTTTTAATGATATCAAGTGTGCGACTACATATCTTGCCAGCCATGTATACGAACTAAACTCTTATGCATTCCCTGTTGTGTACAGGCACATTTTAAAGCAGCTACAGTGTTTTAAAAAAATCCGGGATTTCAGGAGGAAAAGTCCTGAAAATATTGCCAAATGAAGTCCTTTGGGATTTCCTATGGGACGCCGTAGATATCACGTGTCTAGGTAAGATTTGAAACACATCGACGACTAACTCGCTACCTTGAACAGCTGCTTTAGGATATAGAAACTAGGAACAGCGTCCTCTGGGAATTTCTAATAGTGTTTGATAGAGAATCTTCGGGAAATCGCAACAATTTTTAACAGTTTAACTCATGCACAATTGTTGATGAGAATTGTAAATTATTATTTGAGCATATACTGACTACCCATAATGAAACTGCTAAAAACTTGGAAGTGTGCAACTGCAAGTCGAATACCTGCAGTTTTCACCTCCGTAGTTTTCACATGCAAGTGTTCTACACTGTTAAATAAAGTGTTCAACTGGCGTGCACATGCACGTGCTCAACACTATGTGACACTATGTTGCACACTTTAAAGTGTATGACAGGATATTTAAATGCTTCGAAGTGTTCAACAGTCAGTTTGACCACTTTAATGTGAACATAATTGTAAAATAACCACTGTGAAAAATTGTCGTACCGGGTACAGGAAAATTTTCCATGGAAGAAGTCGTACAAGTTCTATCTAAAATTGTACAATTTACTAGCCCAATGTATCGACTTGGAATTGAATATCGAGCGACAGTGGGAGGTTGTACATGTACGACTCGTATTGTAAATGGCAAATTACAAATCACATCGTACATGTACAAATATATTTTTCACAGTGACTGTAACATTACTTTAACACAACACAAATTTGTGGATTGATATATCCACGAAATATTGTGAATGACTTTCACTGTTTATAGTTGTGCATGCACAAGACAATGGGGGTTTACTATGTTTCAAACGATTTTGCGATTTTGGGGTGAAGCCGCTGCCGCCGACATCAAGCTGTATCACTATGCTCACCGTAATAAAGGTCTGGCTGGCAGAAGTGGGAGGGAGGAAGGATGCATCGTGGGTTGCCCTACACATAGAGGTTTTGTAGAGCAAATTCTTTCAGCGTATCCCAACACTAAAGATGGAACACTGTTAAATGCCTGCGAAGTATTTTGCTCCTTCGTAACTACAAAGCATTTACTTCGCAATTACAAAGTGATGCTTTGCAATTACGAAGTGACACTTTGCAGTTGCAAAGCGATGCTTTGGAGCGTTTTCATTGCTTCGCAATTGCAAAGCATCACTTTGTAATTGCAAAGTAAATGCTTCGTAGTTACAAAGGAGCAAAATACTTTGCAGCTCTGCAAAGCAAATGCTTTGTAGGAATTTAACAGTGAAGGGGATCGGGGAAAGGGGCGTATTCGCGCCTGCTCGGGTGAAGAGATGTCAGTAATCCTTTGCAAGATTACACACACACTCCGACGTTTGTCAACATGATTAGTCGTAACGTCCTTTATACACTGTTTTCTCAGTGTAGGTGAGATCGGGGCTCGGTGGGGGTAGACAACGGCCAAGCTTGTTAGGGTCACCACAGGTACACGACTCTGGCTCGTGCCGCCAAATGTATCCGAATCGTTATATTGTGGCGAACGTCCGGTACTCGCACCTGTGTGCCCCCCCCCTCCTCTTTCTCGTTCTCTCTCGCTTCCTAAACCAGGACCACAATTGCATCCTCACTTCGTACTTCCTCATCTAGGACTCATATTCACAACCATTAGCAGCTGTGCTTATTACGGCCCCTTTCTTGGCATAGTGTTATTTTTGCACCAACCCCAATCCAGTCGCTTTAGTAGATGCTGTAAATGAACTATTTACATATTATTTGTTCAATATGAAAATTTGAAAAAGGTATAACTGTAAATGCAAAAACATAGCAACGGTTGAATAGAGCAGCACGTAACTGGATGTACAATGTTTTCAATTTCAGATACTTTAAAGATTTACTACCCAAAGCCAAAAAACAGCCTTACGTTGTCTGGAACTTGTTCAGGGTGGCGGTTAATTCGTAAATACACTGTAAGAATCTACAGTATTACAAAGCACTTTTCATTTGTTTATTGGAATTACAGCGGTATACTGTTCAATTTTGTGATCTACCCTACGGTGTACGGTACAAGAGGACAATACAACACGTTTAAAATTTATTGTAAACCGTAGAATAGAGCCCAAAATTTAACAGTATACCCACCTTACTCGAATTAACAGTTTTAAACTGTTGTTAACAATAATCACAGCTAAATCGTAGTCTATTTCGGCAGTTGATCTTAAGCCCAATTCGACTAAGAATTGCTCTGGAAACTCAAGTGTCGTACAGTATCACACTTATAAGTGCAGTACCAAGGTGTACTGCAGTTAAAAGTGTAGGACACCATGTGGCCGGCAGTTAAAAGTGTAGGACACCATGTGTACTACAGTTTTAAGTGTAGGACACATGGTGTCCGACACCTCAAGGTGCCAGCTAACGCAAGTGTCGGACACCCCTTGTCCCACAGTTATAACTGTAGGACACATTGTGTACTACACTTTTAACTGCAGTACACCTTGGTCCTACACTTTCAACTGTAGGACACCATGGTACTGCACTTATTAGTGTGATACTGTACGACACTTGAGTTTCCAGAGTGGCTGCAGCTTCCCTGCGGATTGACTTTTTGTTTTCATACCTTGGCTTCAGCACCTCAAACAATCTTCATCTTAATACTCAGCACGAGAAGAGGATGAAAACAATAATGCATAGATTGGGCGGGGCAGCTGCTTTCGGACCGGCCCGGTACCGAACCCTGGCCCAAGGAATGAGAGTGCGAGTGCTTGCTCGCTTGGACAAAAAGAGAGCTCGCTGGGAGCAAAGATCGGTGGTGGAAGGCACTAGACGGATGGTGGTGGCCGAGCCGCAGGATGGCGTTGTGGCTATTTCAATCCCAATTAATACTTTGTCGTAGCGGTATCGGTCTGCTTGGAATAAGAAGTCTATGCAGGGCGTCGAAGCCTGCAATCTAATTCCTTATACGTCCAACTAGTTGGAGAAGGTCGGGCAACCCCGGCGAGCTTACCGCCGACTTTCTGTCCTTCTTGTCTCTCGCACTCCCATCTCACGCCAGATGGGAGTGAGACAGAAGACGGTCGGGTAATCTCGCCGGGGTAGCAAAGCAACCGACCACTTGCAAACTCCAGCTCTAATCGATGCTTCTTAAAAAGAATAAATTTATTTCAAAACTTGAAGCACGTTTAATTGACCGCAAGGGTAAAAACACACGAGAGCCTTTCCGTATCGTTTTGCAAAGATCTGCTCCCATCTCATCCTGTCGTGACGCATCCTGGGAGCGATTAAGATGGAAACCGCAAACCATTAGTTATCGCTAATTTGTGTAGCCACAGTATCGCATTTCCAATAACATTGTTTTTTGTTTTGTTTTTTTGGCGGAAACAAATATCGGTTATTACTAGGTCCAATAATGGCGGATTAAATGTCTGTTTGATGACGGACATTGTTACACTGCAATCAGGAGCGCCCAACTGGCAAGTACTTGAAAGGTATTATTGTACCGAAAAGTTAATAACTGTTCAACTTGAATGTTGGTACCTGGTAGATACTCAAATCTGTAGCACCTGCAGGTATTCTACTCGGCGTTAAACACTCAAAGATTCTTGCAAGTTTCGGTGCTTTAGATGATATCAGCGTACAGAGCGGTACAGAGCGATAGACATTCCTCATTAATTGCGCCAAGTGTCTATCGGCCCGCAGAAGTCCCTCCGCCATCCAAAACAATAAACCGCCATTCCAGAGGTTTCAGTAGCCCTCCTTAATCTGTCATGACAAATCGGTGGATGGCTATTGGGAAACTCAATTTTTCCGAGCAAAATTATAACGAAAGTCCCTTTACCTGGTATTCTTATTCCCGCCCTGCTGCACGCTGCCGCCCCTCCCCCTGCCCTGCCTCCTATAAAGCCGTGCTCTCCCACCGCGCGCCTCCCACTGTCCCTCCGTCCTCCGCTGGTGCCGCACGTCCAGAGGGAGCTCAGCCATGGTATGGTATCTGTACGAGTGTGTGTGTCTGTGTGTGCGTGCGTGCGTGGGCTGAAGTCTTGTGCATTATGACGGGATAAGGTTTGCAGACCTTATTTTGTGAACATCCCTATGCACATTTTTTCGTGCATAGAGTTATACACAATTTTTCCGGTACATTTATGCTCGATATCTTGTGCATTCCTAAATGCTGCGTGAAATTGTGCGTATTATGCACAACACAATGAACGCGCGCGTGCGCGTCTTCGCGTTTTGTAATTCAATATGCATGCTTAGCCCCAACCCTCGGGTGAGTGTCTCGTATGCTGAAGTACGACGTGCGTTGCGTCCTTTGTCAAAACCCGTTTTTGCACTAAAACGACGGTGCACAAGTGCACCATGTTATGTTTTAGTAATGTGTCGCGGCTTGGTTTGTGTTGTTGATCAGATGCTTTCGTGATTAGGTCAGCGGTAATGAGTCCCAATAATAGCACGGTGCAAATATGTCGATAACCATCGAGTTCTGAAGTCTCACCTTACCGCCTTAATTATTCAGTGCGCAATCGAGATATCGAAGTGTGCATCGAGCGTAAGACTCGCGCCCTATGGTGCAAAGTGTTCCCACCATCAGTTCGCGTGAGTAAGATTACGACAGGGGTTAAAAACCTTCCCCAATATTTAAGCAATTTTACAGACTGAACGCGCCTTTCTGCATCGTGAGCGTGTAAAAGCAGTAAAGAAACATTTGTCACAAATAGCATCGAAAAATTGCATAGAAAATGCTGGGTCTACACTCTAAAAGGGACTGAACAATTCTGTGCCCAGCCAAGTTGTATCAAAAAAGTTACGTTTTGTAGTTGCCTGGCCTAGTACAAATAACTTATTTGTGTCGAGTTCCGCAGGACCCTTGTTACAAGTTGCGTTCTGTAGCGGGGCAGGTCGTTTGACGGACCAAATGGAGCCGGGGGAGTCGCGGCCTGGCCTCAGGCGCACCCTCGCTTCCTGCTGACAGGGTCCTTTGTGCGCCCGACATGGGGTGACGCACCACAGAGCGACGCAGAGCAGAGCGCAGCGGCTCAATCCTGCTCTGCTCCATCGTCTTGCGGTTGTCACTCTTGGTCCCCCGACTTATCGACACCTCAGGCTGTCATCGCCGCACGCCTCACACTGTAAACGGAGATCCTCCACGTTCTGTTGGCAGACGTTACAACCGGAACCGCGCACCAGAAACAAACCCGCTTCCCGTTTTCTTTTTTTATGTATCTTCACGTCAAAAGGGGTCCTTCCCCCCATAACGTTAGGCCGATGATAAATCAAAAGCGTTACCGTCGAGAGCGGCCGGGATTGGAAAGG